GGAGAGCGGCAGGGACGCCCTGAAACCACACACACACACACACACACACACACACACACACACACACACACACCCCGCACCTGCGAACGCTCAGGGCTGAGATGCAGAGGGACCGGCATTTTTAACTCCTCCGGAGCCCGGAGGAGAGAAAGCAGCACCATTCGGAGCTTTACTCTCTCGGGCGCTGTTCTGAGCCGTCGGCACCATCGTCCCACGAACCCCATCAGCACAGGCAGGCGGACGCCGTGAGCATCCTCACTTTGCAGCCGGAGGAGGCGAGGCTCATGGTGCTGAGCTTGCCCGACGCTGCTTCTCATCCCCCTTCCCACTCCCTGATCCCAAACCCCTCCTTCCAGCCCCCAAGTTCTGGCCCGAGTCCCTCTCCAGTTCCATCTCCCTCCCCCTCTGCCCACCTCCCCTCCCCTCCCCTCGGCCTGCTCTTCATCCGGAGCCTCAGAGCCCCGAGGGATAAAACAGCCGTCCATTTCCCAATCCCCCCCCCCGCCCCCTGCTCTCCTGCACCCCGACACCTCACGCCCCCAGCTCTCAGCTCGGCTGAGGGTGCCTTCCAGGCCCAGGCCCGATCCTGTGCTTCGTGGCTCCCAGTTTGAAGTGATCACCAGGCCTCACTTCCCACGAGAGCACACAGCAGGCGCTTAATAATTATTTACTGACTACAACCGAGAGCACACAGCAGGCGCTTAATAATTATCTACTGATTATAACCGAGAACACACAGCAGGTGCTTAATAATTATCTACTGACTATAACCGAGGGCATACAGCAGGCGCTCAATGACTGCTCACGGCCTGTACCGAAGTCCGTAAATAAATCTTACAGGATCCGAGCAGAACATACCGGTCTCCTTATCCCCTTGGGCTCCCCCCCACCCCTTCACCCCCCCAAACACCACACGCACCCGCTGGCATTTGGTGTCCCCACCCCGGGCCTCGGAGGAGCAGGGGTGGGGTTCCCGTGGCTCTGAACACGTGGGGGAGGGGGGCTCCTATCAGGTACCCGGGCCACTCCCGCCGCCTCAGAGTCCCCAGGGCCTGGTCTGCCCCGTGTGGGGGCAGGCGGCTGCCGGCCACGGCAGTTACACCCGACGGCCTGGACGCCCCAGGCCCTGCGTTCAGTTTTATGACTTAAGGACGGGACGCCGCTATGCTCAGCCCTGTCCGCACCCCATCCTCCTTCCGTCCTGAGCAGCGGCTGCTCTCCCGGCCCCTTTACCATCCTCTTTATCGCCTCGGAAACACACAGGCATTAACTTTCATGCCTTAAAGCCAAACTGGGCGGGAAACTGGGGAGGCACGCCGAAACCGATGTGGCTCAGTGGATAGAGCGTCGGCCTGCGGACTGAAGGGTCCCGGGTTCGATTCCGGTCAAGGGCATGTACCTTGGTTGCAGGCACATGCCCAGTGAGGGGTGTGCAGGAGGCAGTTGATGGATGTTTCTCTCTCATCGATGTTTCTAACTCTCTCTCCCTCTCCCTGCCTCTCTGTAAAAAATCAATAAAATATATATTTAAAAAACATAAACAAAAAACTGGGGAGGCAGCTGAGTGCTTGTCTCCAGGGCCGCCCGAGGGGTGACCTGAGTCCTCTGGGGTCCCGGGGACAGGCCGAGGTTGGCATCCCCAGAGGCCCAGGCCCAGGTGGTATGCCTTAATGACGTCATAGTCACAACATCATGGCTAACTCCAGTGTCATGTAGATCCCTCCACCCACCCTGTGTTTTCTTCTGAGTTTAGAACTTTAGCTCCCAGGGTTTTTGTTGTTATTGTTGTTGTTGTTTTTACAGAGAGGAAGAAAGAGGGATAGAGAGTTAGAAACATCGATGAGAGAGAATCATCGACCAGCTGTCTCCTGCACACCCCCCTACTGGGGATGTGCCCGCAACCAAGGCACATGCCCTTGACCGGAATCGAACCTGGGACCCTTCAGTCCTCAGGCTGACGCTCTACCACTGAGCCACACTGGTTTCGGCCGCTCCCAGGTGTTGGAGAGGTGTCTGTGAATGGCCATGCGTGGGCCCCCCTCAGAGCTGAATCTGGGGAGACCTTCCTTACCGGCCTGAAGGCCCTCTCAGCCCCCAGAAGCCAGGACAGGGGTCCCGGGGAGGGGACGAGAGGGGCCAGGCAGAGCACAGTGTGTCCATCCCCTCGGGGCAGCCCCAAGCCAGCCTGCCCGTAACCTGGGGGCGGAGGAGGGGGGCAGAGGCAGGTCAAAGCGCCCAGGGACCCACGTCCCAGTGAACCAGCCGCCCACCGGCTCCCGCACACTGACTGCGAGGATCCCGGTGGCCACGTACCTGGTGCCTGCTGTGCACGGGGACCCACGGCGCTGTCATCCTCGCCTCCGCCCGGGGGGAGGGCAGAAGGGCTTGACGGCAGGGTCTGCAGGAGACGGAGGCCCAGAGAGGCCAATCACTCACCCAGGACACAGCCGTGAGGGGCGCGGGCAGCTCCGAGGCCAGGTGTAGCCCATTGCAAAGCCCAGGCTCCCCCGAGCTATTCCGGGATACACAGGGGCCCAGGCCAGACAGGGAGGTGGGAAGGGGGGGAGGGAAGGGAGGAGCATCCGGGCCAGCAGGTGCGGCCCATGAGCCTTTGGGTTTGGCGCCCACTGGCCCGGCCCACGGTGTGGCCAGAGGAACAAGGGGCAGGCTGCTGGGGCCAGGGCGGCTGCAATCAGGTGGGCATGGCTCTGAAGACCCCACACCAGCACACCACAGCTTTCAGCATAAAAGCATGGGGCTCTGAGCACGTGGCCGGTGTGGCCCCGTGGATAGAGCACCAGCCTGCGGACTGAAGGGTCCTGGGTTCCACTCGGGCAAGGGCACATACCTCGGAAGGAGGTGAGGCCAGGCCTGGAGCCAGCCTCCCGAGTCTCCCCTCCTCCCGACACCCCTACTCTGTGCGGCAGGAAAGGAGGCACTTACCTGTGGCCTCTGAGACAGACACGCCCCATCTTCCCGCCATTTAGGGAGCCTGGGAGGGAGGGCAGCTGTGGGCCAGGAGGAGGCGGCCCCAAAGTGCACCCTGGATGCCCCACTCCCATCCAGCCCCCACATCCTCTCTCCCCCCCCCCCCCGAGGGGGCCACGTGGCATGGAAGCACCGACACGTATAAAAACCACCCCTTCTGCCGAAACCGGTTTGGCTCGGTCGATAGAGCGTCGGCCCGCAGACTGAAAGCTCCCAGGTTCGATTCCGGTCAAGGGCATGGACCTTGGTTGCGGGGGGTATGCAAGAGGCAGCTGATTGATGATGATTCTCTCTCATTGATGTTTCTAACTCTCTCTCCCTCTCCCTTCCTCTCTGTAAAAAAATCAATAAAATCATATATATATATATATTTATTTTTTTTTTTTAATCCCTTCTACGGGCTTGTAGGACCAAGCTGTGCCTGTGGCGGGTGAGGCCGTCCACGGACAGAGATGGGATGATGACACACACGCTCCCCACCCGCCCAGCACCCCGACGCCCCAGGGCCCCGGGCCGGCCTCGGGTTCTAGTCCGACACTTCGTCTCCATCACCCACAATCTCGGTCCCGCCCTGCCCACCCCACGCCCCTCCACCACGACCATCACACTCTGTACGGGCTTTTCCTTTTTAATGTTTAATCCGTCTGTGTCCAGAGAGAAACGGGATCTGGCCACGCTGGCCGCTCTCTCGGCTCCGTCAGCACAGCCATGTCACGGGTCCGAGTGTTGGTATTTATCTAAAATCCAGAGCAGGAGAGGCGTCCTGGAACTTTTTCTATCCATCGTTTTCGTGGCACCACCGCCAGGGGGCGCCGGCCGGGGGCCCTGGGTGTGGGAGGGCAGGGTGGGCAGCCGGAGGCCCAGGGGACAGAGGGCAGAGCCGTCTGTGGGCCGGGAGGCCTAGCCCGCAGACTTGGCAGGACAAAAATAGAAGGAAAGAAAAAAAAAAGTAAATACATCCAACCTCATCTTTTATTGGGAGGAGGGATGTGTGTTTACAGAAACGATTTCTGGTCCGGGAAAACAAAGTATGGCTGAGTTTGGGGCGGGGCGAGGGCCACCCTCAGGACAGTGGACCCGAGAGGGCTCGTGACTCAGATCCAGGGCCCACGGAATCTTTCAAAAATGCCGCCACGGAGCCACGCCACGGAGCCACGGAGCCACGGAGCCACGGAGCCACGGAGCCACGGAGCCACGGAGCCACGGAGCCACGGAGCCACGTCCCGGGACACCTTCAGACCTGTGTCCGCAGAGTCACAGGATGTATGTATCCCACATGCCACGGGCCCAGGTGCTCGGCTGTGAACACACACACCTCCCCGACTTTGCCCAAGGACAGTACGCAGGCCACTGGCTCTCCTTTTTGAAGAAGCTTCCAGAGAGCTGAGCGCCTCTCCTCCCCTTCCCCGCTGCGTCTGCCACGTCCCGTGTCCGTCTTGCTGAGCAGAAACCGGGAAGAGGGTCCGAGAGCCGTCAAACCGCCAGATCCAGGAAGGTGGTCCGAGAGCCGTCGGGGACACCTCCAGGGGGCGTGCTGCTGCTGCTCTGCCTGCAGCCGGACCAGGAGACCAGGACTTCCCGCCGAGGCCCGTCCAGCCCCTCGGGGAACCCGGGGACAGTCGGAGGCAGAGGTGGAAGCGGATTCACGCAGTGTGACATGCTGTCGGCGGGCGCGGCTGGCACGCATGATGTATGTTCGTGGGACACGGGATCTGGTGGCCCGTGCGTGGACCGCGTCCTGATCCCCAGCACACGGCCCACAAGGGGGTGCCCCTCGTCCCGTGGTCTCCCCGTGGTCCGGGCAGACCCGCAGGCTCCAGGTAGAAGGTCAGCCACCGCCCGTGTGTCCGTGTCCCACACCCGCTGCCGAGTCCGTGACACACGACGTGGTTCAGTCTCCGTGCAGACGGATCCGGACACGGCCCCACCCCCACGCTCGGTCCTTCGGCGGCCTCCCTCCTCCGGGGCCGGGTTCCGTTCCCAACGGGGCGGCAGAAGCACGGATGGAGGGG